TGGGTATGTGCCCTGACCAGGAATCAAACTGGAGACATTTCAGTGCACAGGACGATGCCCAATCCACTGAGCTACACCAGCAAGGGCAAATCACACAGCTTTTAAAAATATATATTTATGCCTGTGGACTTACGTTAGACCTTTTGATTCAGAATCTCTAGGAGTAGGTGACAAGCTTGTGTATTTTGAAAAAGTTCCCCAAGCATTTCTGATGCACACACCTAATTAAGAACTGCTGCCGTGGATTGTTTTGAACGGAAACAAAGGACAAAAAGGGAACTAAGTTTTCTGACAGTCTGATCGGGACGTAGCCTAGAAGCACCAGGGAGAAAAGCAGGCCCTTTCCCTTTGATGAAGACACCAGGCCCATTGATAAATCTGTCCGATGGCCTTTCCTTTTCCCCAGGACCCATCCTTTTGTGGATTGAACTTTTACTACCTTCCTTCCCTTCAGCCCAGCCCCTACTTGATCAGATAAATTAAAAAAGCATGCGAAAAAATGAGACCATTAATGAGATCAGAGCCCTAAACATCTTGTTCATGTCCTAATCTGGTTCAGAATCCTGCATGTTACTTCACAGACTGTGAGTACTCATCCAATGGCTATAAAGAATGATACATCCTAATCAAGAGATCAAATTAAGCCTTAGGAGCCTTGGGTCCTTCAAAAAGAACTTGTTAAGCTAATGAGTAACTAAGAGCAGCATGTGGAACTGTAAGAGCCTGTGTCCGTCCTTCCTTCTGCTCACTCTTACAAATTGCTATAAATGCTTTGCTTCAGGGTGCAAACAAACATTCCTCAGCCCCCAAAATAACAGCATTAGGTTTCTATCAGAAACTTTAGGCCAAGAGATGGAGAGTTCATTTTGTTTGGATTTCATATTTAAAGGTACAAAATGTGATGAAAATTGCACAAGACTTTGAGTCTTGTTCTCGAAAACAGTACAGTTAATAAGAATAAATATTGTACAAAACCATCCAAATTTTTTCGTTTTTTCATTTTTAATGAACTTTCTCCATACAGGAAACAGTCTGCAAATAACACACTCCTCATAAAAGCTATGGAAAGTTGAAACTAATAGTTTGCATTATATGTATCATCTGTGAACAGCAGGTAAAAACAAACTGATTTTATGTTTTGTTCACATCTGATACAAACTTGTATTTTGCTACTTATAGAATGACATTGACCATCATAGAGCCATATTTGGCTACCTCAGGATCTAAGATAAGAATATATTAACTGTATAGCATTGTGGTCCCAAGCATTGAAATATATCTTCTTCACTGGAAGAGGGCAGTGACTTTGTCTTACTCATGGCATACAGGTGGCACTCAATAAATAGTCCCTGAACAAATATGTCCTATTATTCCATTAAGTCATCTTTAAACATCAAAGGCTGTACATGATACTAATTCTTTAGTACTCAACCAATATTAAAAATATTTGATAAATAGGTAAATATTAAAAACTACTCTTCAAAAATAATTAGCTTTTTACTGGTTTTTAATTTTCACTTTCTAACTTTTCATTTATTTTTTAATTCTCACCTGAGGATATTTTTCCATTGATTTTTAGAGGGGCTAGAAAGGAGGGGGAGAGACACAGAGAGAAAAATATCAATATGAGAGAGACACATTGATTGGTTGCTTCCAGCATGAGCCTGCAACCGAGGTATGTGCTCTTGACTGGAATTGAACCCGGGACCCTTCAGTCCCTGGGCTGACGCTCTATTCACTAAGCCAAACCAGCTAGGACACGTTCTAACTTTTTAAAAGCTGAAGAATGGGTCAATGCATGGAAAAAGTGCTAACAGTGAAATCAACCTTGCATAAAGGGCTTTCCACATCTCATAACAGAAGTTCCTGTGGGAAAACGAAAACACTGAGTCAAGAATGGGGGTTTGTAAATATAAGCACTTACCTCAAGCTCATTTTCATCAAAAATAGCCAAAAGGTTCTCAGGGACCAACTCATTCAGGCCTGAAACAAATAGCCCAGTTAAAACCATACCCACACCAAGGGCACAGGTACTTTCATATCAAAGCTAAGAGCAAACAGAATCTCACCTTTCAGGAAATGTTCCACCTCCTCTTTCACTTGACTGGCCAGCCGATATTGGGCCAGCAGATTTAAATAGAAGATTTTATTCGCATTAGTGACTGGGGTTTGAGCTCCACCTGCCATGAGTTCTACTACCTAAAATAAGATGCAAAAGACAGACAGGGAGAGGCTGTTTGTAAGATGACAGCTGCTTAGTATGTCACACAAACACAGCATTAATGAAGTCCATCACAGTTGCAAGTTTCTGCTGTGCATTCAGCTTCTCAACACACTTGGTTTTATACAGTTACTAAGCTTCAGGGTTCCTACTACTATTGCTGTATTCTACTAGCTTTTTCTGAGGGGGATTTGAGGGGGTCTTCTCTGACCTAGTCAAACAGGGGTGATGCAACAGGAAGAAGATACTGTGGTCCCTTGTTAGCAACCGTTCAGTGTCTCTATGATCTGAAACTAAACCATCACAACCTCCTCTCTTAAACCCCTGAGCCAATTGAGAACAAATAAAGTCAGATAAGTAGTGAAGAAATCGCTTTAGAAATTCTAAGAAGGGATCAGTTATTCCCTTATATCCTTCCCTTACAGTCCCACAATAGTCACACAGAATATGTGATTATCAGTTCAATGGTATCATTCAGTGGTCACAGTTTTTTAGTCATTGCTATTTGCTTTCAATTGTATGTTACTGCAACTTTGGCTTCATCATTATCATACGATTTTGTTTAGCACTATAATGTAAACAGAACTACATTTGCATCAGAAATACTTTGGGCTAATAATTTTGTAATAAAAGGTTTGTGGCTGCCACTAGTCATAGATGGTTATTTATATTTAAGTTCATGAAAATAAAATAAAATTAGAAATTCCGTTTTTTGGTCACACTGGCCTCAGTTTGGGTGCTCAGCGGACAGCACAAATAGAGAACATTCCCACTATTGCAGGAAGTTCTGTTAGGCTGCACTGCTCTGGAGGAGGGTGGGAGTCATGGGGCCTGTAGGCTCTGGTCCTCATTCTCACCTTATCCAATTGACCTGATTTGTTATATTTCTCTTCTGCAAAGACCAGCTCCATTTCACTCATGTCATTGTTGAGGATAAAACAAACTTTAGATTTATAGAATTCTGGGTCATCCGTTTCAAAGTACTGAGGAGACAGAAAGACAGAATACAACATGACTACTCTTACCCAGAAATAAAATTTACAACTGCTATTAACCACTTACCTCTTCAACCTTGAGACTAATTAGTTCAGAGTGGAGAGACTCCAGAGTTCATGGCCAGGGGCCTTAGTAGAAAAGACACATCTCAGACATTACCTTGTAATGCATACGTAGTCCTATGATTTGGGCCAAGAAAGAACGTGTGAAGCGAGCGCGGACCAACTGTTTGTAGGCTCCTCCTAGAGAGGACTCATAGAGACACTTGCCCACGAGCCGGCCCGCAAACTCATACATCTTCGAGCGTAGATGAGGGGGGCGATTAGGGTTGGGGTGCACCTGTCAAAAGAAAGACATTAAAAAGCTTTGGGTTATTTTCCTTATAGCCTAGTTTTGGAAAGACCCTCCCTCCCAACTCCATTCCAAGAGAGCAAGAATTTCAGTATTAAATCAAATACTCAGTAGTGGCTACCAAAAGCCCATCCAAATGGCATTGGCCTTTTGGTAGCCACTACTGAGTAATTCAAGTGACTGGAGGATAAAGAGCAAAGATGGACTTACATCAGGCTGAAGAATCTTACATTAAGTTTGTGGCTTCATCTGGCTGAGTATAGAAGTAATTAGTATATGATGTGATGATGCCTTTTCCCTAAACCAGAACTTCCTTCAGCCAAAGTCCACTTCTCTCCTCCTGACACCTCTGCTTAGTCAAAGGTCTAGTACAGAATTCAATAGCTTCAGGCATGTTTTCAGAAAGTGGCTTAATTATTATTATAATTAGTAGAATGGTCATTGCATTATAATGCTTTTTAGTAAAATAGTCATTTGTCTGCATTTTCTCTTATCCTAGGGATGAAATAATGAAGGCAAAGCAGAGGGAGGTTAACTGATTAGTTCATATTGTAGCTAAGAACAAGGCACAAATTGTCAGATTCCCAGATTCATAATCTCAAACTCATAAGTCTACTGCATTATAACATAATCTACATTTTCCACCCACCCACGGGGAAGTCACAGACTCACTAATCCTTGGTTGTTGTCACTGAATCGGGTAAAGAGCTGATTGGTGGTATCAAATAGTGCTTTGCAGATTAGTTCAAACCATTCCCGGCGAGGCCCTCCCCAGTCCAGAGCTGAAAAATATAATGAAAATAAAAAGTAACTCTGGTCTACTATCTCCTATCATGTCTATTCATTAATTCATTATTTTATACTCTCCACACTCCCTCCATTCCACTACCTTACTGTTTCCCCCTTCCAACCCACATAAACTGGACTTTTTTTTTTAAATCCCATCCTTTAGTATTAAAGGTCACTAAGCTAATACCCCTAGTGTGGAAACACAGGAGATAAAATATCCCAAGAAATGGACATTTCTCTTAGTTGTATAAAGGTGAAAAGTTTGCCCTTCTAGTTCAAACTCATAGAGCTCTCCCTCCAAGCCCTTGTTATGTCTGTGCTCTACAAGATCCACCAGGTCATCCAGCCAGTAAACACCACCCTTTTTATCTTGACTCATGATCTTTTTCCCTTGGAAAAAGAACCTGGGGTGTATTCAAGGGTTTGTTTTTTTTTGTGGGGGCGGGGGGCAAGAAATAGGAGTGAGAGTGGAGTTTAAAAAGATAAATATGAAATTTCAAAACTGACCTTCTTCGTCCTGAAAAACCACTTCAAAGTTCTTGCTCCAATCTGAGATGGAGAAATTCCGAGTGGCTTTCAGAGACTGAAAAGTAGCAAAAGGAAGGAAGTATCAGAACGCTGGCTGGCATCTAGTGGGTGTTAGCAAGAATAATGCTATTGTCTACTAGTTCTTGGAGGCAATCTATTATTCATAAACAAGCTTTAATAACACCATTTTATAATTAAAATACATGTATCTCCAGAAAAAATTGAAGGTTTTTAAAAATAATCTAATTTATCTTTACACCATTACTTGGTTGAAAAGTTGACGCTTGCTTTTCTTTTTACAATCCTTATTTTATTAATGAAAAGATGCTTAAAGAACTAAAGATGAAAAAATAAAAAGAACTAAAAATGGCTCTCAGATTAGTAAGCTGTCATCAAGAGAACCAAGGAGTCCTGGTTTTCGGTAAAGTACAGTCTATTTGCTAGACGTCTTTATCCAAAGGCTAGGTTCAGACAGGGAGCCATACCACATGGAGAATGTGGCTGAGAAAAGAGGTTTCCAATCACACCTTCCAGAGCCAAACATCACAAACACATTTTGGACTGGGACCAAGCCTTCTCATTCTTGGGGAATGTAAGAACTATGCCAGCGTCTGTGCAGTGGAGACAGACACACATCAGGTGTTCCTTTTCCATCAAACCAGAGTGACAACAAAAATCACTGCCTTGTAACCCAACAAGAGCTCTTCTATTCCAGGGATTCAATAACAAGAACTTTCTGCTGTAACAACTACTTATACCCGCCCTGCATGGGAGTTCCATGAGTTTATTCAGGAGCTAGTTCAGTACAGATTCTAAAGCCAATGTGTCAACCAGTCTCTCTCCTTCATAACATACCTCCAACAAATCTGCCCCAAACTTAGCATAATCAAACAGAAGAATAGTCTTTAACAGGTATGTTTAAAGAGAAGTTTGTGTTTCATGAAAAAGATAACCTGAAGAATATAACCAAATATCAAAGAGGCTCCTAGCTGAAAAACTTTGATAACTATTGGCAGAGAGGAAACTTTACTCACCGATTCCAACAAAGCATGCCTGCTGACCTTCAGGGTGACCTTGGAATGTGGTCTTTTCATATGTACCTGCCGAAGCTCTCGCTGGAAAAAGTTCACCTTGTCCTGAAAGGTCTCAGAGCCTCCTGAGGAGCCGCAAGATTCATCATGATTACAGCCTTATTACAAGACATCTGTGCAGGCCACTCCTACACCCTCAGGCACCCACAGTAGCTGTGGTCACTGCCCAACTTTACCTATGTTCTTATGGAGGGAACGGATGAAAGTGGCTGCGAGGATGTTCCTCTCCTTACAGCTGAGCTCCACAGGGGGCTGAATGCCATCATCTACCACCAGCGTAAGGAGCTTATGGACAGGGTCAGGGCCAAGGTATGAAAACTAGCAAAGGGGGAGAGAAGAAAAAAAAGTTAATTTATAAAATCCTCAACTCCAGCAAGAACCACCCACAACGCTATGCTCGGTACCAACCAATGAAAACAAGTTGAGCCTGTTGCTCCAAGTGAGTACCTATCAGAAGCACATTTCCTTGTTTTTCACCTCAGTGCTCTCAATTCAAATTTTATTTTAAATTATTTGAGTCCCAGAGACTGCCTTTAGTAAGGATCACAGGCAACACTACAGACCTTCTAACAAAGAATATAAGCAGGATGAAGGTAGTAAGGAGCTATAAAACAGCAAATAACTACCTGAAGAGGTTGGGCAAACTGGGTGGAGGAAAGTGATTTGCCTTTAGATTCCAAAAGCTCAGAAAAGTTAAAAAAAAAAATTTTTTTTAAATATATGGAAATACTGATTCTAAAAGAGCTTCAATATACTGGGAGGTCAAGCTAGGGGCAAAGTTATTAAAACCCTCTCCATTAATTTAGTCTTAAGGAAAAAGATAACTCTTGCATTATTCTGTCTTGCTTCTAAATCCCTGTAAGATGTGTCTTACTATACTATCTGTGTTCTTCATGACATTTCATGAGATAACTGCTAACAGGCTGAGCTATTCCAGGGCTGAAGCCTGCTCAGCAAGAACCAGATGTAAGGACCCACTTACTTTGGTTCCTGGGCACACTCGGAAGGTATAAAGGCGCCAGGGAATGATCTTCAGGTAGAACTCCTTCACTGAGAATTGCTGGTGGGCCAACAGACAAAAAACGAAGTGAATGATAAATAAAAAAGGCTCTATTTGGATACTGTAACACTCAAATATCAGAGTCCCCACATAAACTTCTCATTATAACCCTTTTCGTCTATGGACAAAAAGGATAATTTAGGTCAGTATTGAAATCAAATAAGTACTATCACCCTCCTGAAATAGGCAAATTAAAAATAATGCTCTGACAGTGCAATTCACATAAAGATATTTATACTCTTAACCCTTTGCACTCCGCTGTCCCCTCTCAGGGGACATCGGAATTCTAGCATATCACTCGGATGTCCCCTCTCAGGGGACATTGCAGTTTATTAGTGATTACGGGGAATTGAGTTAACTCAACGCACGTTTCGCAAAGTAGCGTCGAGTAGCTGGTAGCCAATGTCCAGAATGGTTCGGAGTGCAAAGGGTTAATATTTAAGTCTTACTACCACTTGTAAATAGCTGAGCTCAGGTTTTCACTTTATGAGTAGAGAACATTATTTCACTTGGAAACAATAAAAGTCTACTTCTGCTCAGCTTGGTGCTGCTCAGAGAGACTTCCTTTAAGTCACATGTGTCAAACACAAGGCCCGAGGGCCAAATCCGTCCTGCCAGGCCTTGCAATGTGGCCCGCACCGCGCTGTCATCACTGCACTCCGCTGCGTTTCCATCACAATGACAGTTTATGACTGTTCAGTAAACCATTCGGCCCGCGATTTAGGCTGGATTTTAGATTTTGGCCCCTTCTCTGATTGAGTTCGACACCCCTACTAAGTCAATGGACAGGGAACGGCAGTAGCCCAGACCTATTGCTTTATCCCTATTTAAATGGTACCAAGGACTTGCCAGGGAAAAGGGGGTGGGGAGTAGAAAGGTGATTGGGGTGGAGTCTCATATAAAAAGTTTCATAAAAATTCCTTATTAAGAATAAAGAAGGATCTCTTTGTCATTTACAAAAAGAAAAAAACAATGCCATAATTTTTTTTAATTTAAAAAATCTGTTATCTGCTGTATAGTAACTGATTTTTTTCTAGATTTAAAAAAAAATCTTCATTAAAGAAAATTTCACGTACATACTAAAGAAGAGAAAAAGGGTATAATGAACCCATCACCAACTTCAACAATTATCAACTCATAACCAATCCTGTTTCATCTATACTTCACTAGTCCCTCATTACCATTCCCCCGGGCCAAATTAAGGCAAGATTTTTAAGTGACAAATGGTACGTAACAAAGTTTTTTGAAGAATAGTATTAGAACTCAGTTTTGATTATGAGATTAAAGGAATATAAAGGGATGTTTCAAGAGTCTCATTTTTCTGAGGTTTGAACGAACAAGCAAAAATACAAATTTTTTTTTTTTTAAATCTCTAACACAAAGCACCTCTTAGCTCAGGGCCCTTAGAAGTTCACCTCCTGTCTCTGCCAGAAGTTCTCTGTTCTAATCCTGTAGTCTGATGATGACATCCACTTACTGTGGTTTCACAGATCACAGAATGAAAGATCAAATTGTTTCGAAAAAGCACAAGGAAACAACAGTAATTTTTATACTAGTGAGGAACTTTTACAGTAACTTTCTTTAAAGCTCTAAGAGCCATGCCTTGAAAAATCGTCCCTGAAGTACTCAAAGGGCAGAATGCCACAGGTTCCCTAACATTCCAAAGCACATGAATCTCTAGACAAAGACTCAAATCTGGTCCAAACCAAACATCTGCAGCAGAAGAGGTGGCACACTCTCTGCTGCTTCACTTTAGTAACCTCTCTTAGCATCCTGGAAACCCTACAGGTCAGTGATCTTGCCTGATTCTCAGACTATTACCAATTACATGCAGGGTGGAGCTGGGAGATTTAGAGGGAAGAATGGGAGTCCCAACCTTTGGTGACACATAGCAGTACACCTTCTTCGGTTTCTTCACCTTCTCAGGGGTGTGACACTCCGAAGGTGAATCTTCTTCCTCCTCCTCAGCAGCCATGGAAGGCCGGCGCTGGGAAGAGCTCATGTGCATGGGGGGCAGGTGCCATGGTGTGCTGGTACAGTTGGCGGCGGCATAAAGATAAGCCTCAAAGTAAATGCTCACTCCTGAGGTGGACACGTTGCGTTCAACAATATTCTTCTCATTCTCTGAAGTAGAATAAGGGAGAAAATGTAGAGTAGGAGTCAGAGAAGAAAAAAAAGTTAAACTTTTCGCCCACAGGACTCTGAGCTAAGCTTGGCTCAAATAGCAGATGTTTGTGAGGTCGTCAAAAGAGCAAAGACATGAAAAGAACAAATCACAGCTTTTCTTTCAACTCACCGCTTAGGACAATAATGTCAAATTCGCCATTATGGATTGGCTGATTTTGGTACGAAATGCAGGCATGGAAGCAACCACGAGAATGCAGGGTGAGGCGCAAGAAGACCTGGCAGGTCTGCTTGTTGGATGTCACTGACTTCTCAAATGAGACACTGGTTTGCTCTTCTTCTTGGGGACCAAGCTAATAAAGGAAAACAAAGCATCACTAAACATATATAATTTTCTGTATTTGCACATTAATTTACTCTTTACAAAAAACTATCCTATCTATGAGCTAATCGAAGGCTCATAGTTACTAATGAGATAGGTATTATCAAATGAAGGAAGAAAGGAAAGCACAGAAGTCAGGAAAGAGAGAAGAGATGGAAGTGAATTAGAAAGGGTGAGAATGGCAGAGAAAGAAACACCGAGAAAGAAGGGGGAAGATGCTTACCTCATGAATGGACAAACTGTAATTGTGCTCATCTCTCAAGGACGTGGAATTGTTGGTAGGGTTGTCATACTCATCTCGGGGCACTATCTGAAGGGTGTGTGGCTGCCCACAGGTCAACACAAGAGTAGAAAAATGGCACACAATTTTGGTCTTGGAAGGAACCACCATTCCTGGAATAAAGACAATGGAATCTAACAGGCGCTTTTCAGGGCACAAAGAGAGCTGTGTCCCAACCCAACCCCGAGGGATAAACAATACCACTAAGGCCCAGCCAACATGGCTCAGAGGTTGAACATCGACCTATGAACCATGAGTTCACGT